TTCTTTGCCTGAAGCCAGGCAAAGCGGGACACTTTGTCTGGCTTTTTTTGATAAGGTAGATGATCATTGGAATAGTTTGGAGCTGGGCATTTGCTTTCTGCAGCTTTTGGACTCAGCATGAAAAGCAAGTGAATGGGCAGGCAAGTGAGTGAGTGAAATGCCGTGTCTGAAAAGCAGGCGAGTGAGTGAGTGAGGTGATGAATCAAGGATGCAACTTCTATTTGAGGGAAGTCAAAATATCATTTTGGGGACCCCAAAAATGGGGGTGTGACTATATGGTGATTCCCATTCCTGATATATTCTTGGGAATGGATTCCACACTACAATATTGCTCCTTGGGACAAGCACCCAAATACAGAAATCACTGTAATTCCACTCTGGTATTTTGAAATTGTATTCAAAATACAATTTCAAAACCCAAAGCAGACAGGCTGTGAGGCTATGTGTGCATCAGAAGATTTTGGGAATTGTAGTTTTAAAAAACCTCAAAATAATAAGTTTTCTAAACCTCATAGAGTTCTGTCTGGAGAAAACTGTAACTTTGTTCCACTGAGTACAATGGAAACTCATATCTGTATGCATAGATGTTCAAAATACCTGAACAAGATTCATGTTTCATTTCAGGGAGTTTTCAGGAAAAGAACTAATGTCTACGAATACATGTTTCAAATATAAAAACTATGATCTTATTATATGAAAATGACCATCAGAACAGAGGTGATCCAGATCAGATTTTATGGGCCAGAAAGTGTCCCTTCTGAGTTCAAAATACATTGTAAATTGTCTTGGAAAGTAGAATTTCAATCCATGAGGGAACAACCAAAGTGTATTAGTCAGTTGTGGGGCACAAGGTGAAAATGAAAATATTCTGAAGCTCTTGTTCCAGCACCCAGAACAGCTCCTTTGTAGATTGCATGGTGTTCAAGGCTTTTATCTGAAGGCCTGTCAGTTTTTAATGGTGGCTCATGATGAATATGATAAAAGCCTTGCAGGAAAAGTGATCAGTGTTTGGAAAAGGGAACCCAGACATGACTATTTTTAAATCTGAAAGATTTCTGAAGATTGAAATGGGCTTGCATACAAAACTGTAATGCAAGAATTGAGATCCTAGCCTTTAACGTATTTGAATACAAATTGTATTTCCATTAGGTGTCCTCTGAATCATGGAAGTCCATGTTAAATATCATGATTTCATTCCCACAACACTTTTATTCCTCATTGAAGCAATATTTAAGGTTTTGTTTTTGTTTTATTTTACAAAAAAGAGAGATTCTTTTACTAACTTGGTCATTAACACTGGAACACAAATGCCATCCACATATTTAAGGTTCTGTTGCTTCGTTTATTGCCTCTGCAGCATTAAAACAATTCCAGTATTGATTTAATTCAGCAGTGAAAAGTTTCTCTTCAGCATCTTGATAATCGGACTGAAAATATTTAACTGGCTTTGCTGTGAAGTATTAGTGAGTATCCTATGTTACTTATGCAAATGTTAGCAATTCAATCTCTCATCTTGAATTGCGTGCTGAAAACTCACACCTGAAAAAACAGTATTACACTGGAATTAAACAGTTTTGTGCAACCGCAAATCTCTAGTTTCATAAAAACCTATTTCCAAGCTTATCTAACAGTCTGGCATCATGTATCATTTTGTTCAAATGGTGCTTGCATGCTATTTACATTTTCCTGTTGGGAGCAATATCTGCTGTTCTTTTCTTTCCAAAATGGAACTCAAATATTATCAGAACTTGAATTTACTGAGGATATCCATTTTGCCTTAGCCTTGTCCTGTCCTCTGAGCTCATTTCCACATTCAGAATGCTCCCCACACTGCAGTTTGTGCCATCCCAACATCAACAACAAAAGGTTCATCATCCTAACCTATATTGTTGTGTATTAAAATGTATGGAATCCTCAGAGATCTTGTAAGCCACTTTAGAAGCCTTTTTAGCTAAACTATTTAAATAAAAATAAAGAATAAAGTATAACAATAAATAGTAAACAATATGATCTTATCATGGGTTACTGTCTTGTTGAAGTTTATCATTGCCTTTACTTGTTTTCAAATAGTTTTAATTCTATAGGTGGCTGCCTTAAGACCCAGTATAGGGAAACAATGAGGGTCATGGAAAAGGCCACAAAAGCCATCCAGTCCAACTCCCTGCAATGCAGGACTACTCAAAGCACCCCCCAGAAGATGGCCATCCAGCCTCCATTTAAAAATGTCCAAAGGAATCTCCACCACATTCAAATGAGGTATTCCATTATCAAACCACTCCCATCATCAAGAAGTTCTTCCTTGTATTTTAGGTGGATCTCTTGTCCTCAAGTTTGAACATTAACAACTACACAAACAAGCCTCCTCCTAGCTCACATGAACAAACAGCCTTACCCCCACAGACATGATAGCTTCAATCCAACAAACACTCCCCAAAGACTGTCTGGAGCTGAGGATGTTTAACACAACAGACAGAGCTCACTTTATCTTGTCTCTTTCACCATGCCATTATAAAAGGCCTGTTTGTTAAGCTCCAGGGACTGGAGCTGTAGCTATATAGAAAGCTGGTGGCTGCCAGCTTCTCCATCAGTTAAAAGTCTTTGACTCAGTATCTCTTAACAGATATATTTCCCCCTTAAGGCAATATTTTGAAGTAGAAGACTTGGAGCTACACACACACACAAACAATACAACACTAATGAACATGGAAGCATGCTTCCACTCAGTTCACATAAATGATCAGCCTTAACCCAACTGGTTCATGCTCATCAAAAGACTAAAGAACATTAATGAGTATACAAGCAAGCCTTATTTCAGCTCACACAAGTAAACAGCCTTATAGACACAAAAGCATTTCCCCAGCAAACTCTTCTTCCCAAAGACTCCTTGGGGATAGGAAGGGTCAACCCAACAGACACAAGCTCACCTTATACTTTCTCTTCCACCACATTAACACAAAATACCTGTTCATTGGGCTCCAGGGACTGGATTGAAGTTTACCAGTCCCATGAACAATCTTTATGATTTTGAGCTTCTAATACTAGAAAGTTCAAGAAATTTTCTAGAGAGGAAAAGTGTTTTATGTTAGGGGTATTGATCTGTTGATAGCATATACACAGGCCCTAAGGAACTCTCTGCACAATATCTGCTCTTCAAAGTTTCCCACTCTCAGTAGCCCTATAAACTAAAAGATAGAGATATTGCTGGTTCTTAGAGATGCTGTCAATCATTGGTTCTAAACCAAAGATTCAAAGTTTCTTTGAAAAGCTCAGGCGTGTCCTTGATAGTGATGGAGACCTAATATATTGATTCGAATTCCCAATTAACCAATACCTAACTTTTTAAAAAAGTAGTTCATTCTTGCACTGGTGATTAAGATATTCTGTTGTTGATTTAATGTCTATCCATAGATTAAACATATACATGAAGTAAATGAATGTCTGCCTTAAATGTGGTACAGAAATCACATTAGATCCCCACTAAGCCTCTTGGAACAACTCATTGCCTTCTTGTCTCTGCTTGAGGCTGAAAAGCAGATTATCTAAACTCAAATTTGGCAAGAGTATAAGTAGAATAGGTTTACACAATGTTCTACTCAGAGTTATTTCTATGGAAGATGGCCTCCAGAATCCCCCAACCAACATGTTCACTAAATAGAATGGCTGGACAATTCAATTTTAACCCTCAAAACAAGTGTTGCACACTCAATTTCTTTCTTGTAATTCATCTTCAGAAGTGAATCTTGACTTTTCCTCTCTTCGTGTTTGTATATTTTTTATATTTTGATCTGGTTTGGAGAAAAAAAAAATCAGAAATGAAAAGAAGTCAATGTGTCACTTTTTCAAAAAATAAAACTGAGCTTAGCATAGGCATTTCTTAAGCCAAAATCATGATATGCAAAATATGGGATGTTTTGATGATAGGATCTCTTCAGCATTTAATAGCTAGACATCACAATCGCCACTCCATGGCTAGACTATAACATAATCCAAGACATCAAATGATGACAATGGCTTCATAATACTTCATATTACATATTACTGAAGATGGTGTCGGTGAAAAATGAGTGAGGCAAAAGAGTTGGCTTAAACCTGAACCACATTTATATAAACCTAGTGAAAATGAGCAGTAGCACAAAACAACATACAGGAATACTTTCCTCAAACTACTGCATTCCATGATAGACCTCTGGATGGATGGATGGATTCTGCTTCAGTTACTAGTTCTGACTGGTCATTCTATGATATTGTTTTATCATGTATCTGAAACCTATTTCATCATCATCATTATCATCAACATCATCTTTTTCTTCATCTTCTTTTTACCTATTCCTGCCTTTCTCTTGAGATTCAAGGTGGCTAGCAACATATTTAAAACAGTCTAGATAAAACTACAATTCTCCCTCCACATTTGCAATTTTGACCTTTGTGGATCTGATCATTCATGGATTTGATTACAATGCTCTCTGTAGGAATCTCTATGACTTTCAGTGTGACTCCAAGGTGAAATTCCACCAGCTTTCATAAGGACCAGAGATTCCTAGTAAGAACAGCTCTCTAGGAAACTCAAGTTCCTCCAATATGTTTCTGTGTCCAGCTCCCAGCCGACATTGACTATAGAGACCTAGAAATTTCTAGAGAAGTATTATCTCAGATAAAACCCCCAATTTCTTTATTTTAATGATGGGAAATATGGTTCTTCAAATGGACTGGACCCAAACCCTATGAGACTTTATACTTCATCACCAGCACCTTGAATTGTGCCCAAAAATGGACTGATAGCCAGTGGAACTGTTGTAACAAGGGAGTTGTGTGCTCCCTGATGTAAGATATCACGCTCCAGAGGGTCAAATATTTAGATTGCCTTTTTTGTTGTTTTCTTTCAGAAGCGCTAATTTTTACTCAGTTGAGACCTTCCAGTTCTCTCATTCTTAAAGACAAGATGGCAAAATATGTGGAGGAAAGCAATAGCTGGTCAATGTAGGAATTCAGTGCTAGAACTCTGCAAAGTCCTTCAATACTACATGGTTCCTCCGTTTGGTCCTCACATGTAGTCTTCTGATGAATATCATGAGGCATGTGTCTATTGATGGGTTAAGTCTGTGTGACTAGATTGATAAGTTGACAGGATGCTGGAGAGCAGTGGGTGTTGACTGGAGAAGGTGTGAGGAGGTGCTCCAGTGAAGAAGTATCTCAGCTGTGACCAGGCATTGAGGTGAAAAGAAGTGAAACACACATACAAGCACTAAGTACCTGTGCCAGCACAAGGTAAGCACTATTCATTTCTTTAATCATTTCATGTACTAAACGGCTACATCTCAATGAATGTGATCAGTGTGTAAGGGTAACATCTGCACTTGGATGCATGAGTGAATGCACAACTGAGTGCAGATGGCATTCCCTTGTACTGCGTTGGAGTCAAGAAATACTTTAATACTTTCAATGCACACTTTCAGGCTGCATTCCAGGCTCTCTCTAGACAAGGTTGAGTGCCTTTTCTCAGCAACCTCAACAGATAGTAGAGGCATAAAACAGCATAAGATATACAAAAGTAGAAAGGGAACTTTTATGAACATTTTTTTTGTAACTCCTCACATTTATGCAACAAAAAGTAGACTTCATGAAAATTTAGCACAGCATGCTAGGTTCAAAATGAAATCAAGATGAATAAAATTATGTTCTAGATTTGTTTACAATCAATTTCAGCATAGTGCCTGGATTAAGTGTTTCAATCTACCATTCTATGTGTGTGTCTGTGTCTGTGTGTGTGTGTGTGTGTACATGTTCTAAATTATATGTTATTCATGCTAAGAACAGAACATTGGCTTCAGGTATTTTGAATTCATCGTGTTGTATTTCTCTCTCTCTCTTTTAAGCAAGTATAATCTAGTATAATCTAGTTTCATAATGTATCAGATGTCTTGAAAAACAGGGCTGTATCTTATGAACTATTTTCCGTAGTTGTAAACAAAAACATTAAAAGATGATTGCTCAGTTCCCTACATTTTAACTGTTATCTAATTCAGATAAAAGAGCTTATTTCAGTTGCTGCCCAATAGATAAAGAATTAAAACTATTTCCCCTTACTAATCAAAACATTTTTACAAAACTCTGAAAACTTGCTCAAAACTTTAGTAATGTAAACAAAGTAATGTAAACAACAAAGAAAGGAAGAATCGTTTTACACATGCTGCAATAAACCCCTCTTCCATTCTATCACCTAGTCTTTCTATATTATGTTTTCCATAATATAGAAAGCATCATAATCTATGTGCATTTCTTTGACCTACATTTTATGATCAGGTTGCACCGGTTAGGTGGTTGATCTGATACGGTACATCAGACATAAGCAAAGGAAGCAGCGAGAGCCGTCTCTTCTTGGCCACATGGTGGAGCATCATCGAAAGAAATCCTTAGTACATTTTAACTCATTGAGGTTACTGTCAGTGTCTACCTAATTCGAAAACCTTATGAGAAAGAAAGAAAAAGAAATAACACAAGGGAGGATTTTAAAAAGTGTCTTGCTTGTGTGTGAGAGAGTTTGTGCATCTGTTCTACCTATGAGGTTTCCCCCCTCTCTGCTGCTCTTGCAATGCTTAGCCAGGCATTCGAAGGAGATCAGGAAGGAGGCTTACGGAAATGACCGTGCCTAGTATCAGCCCCAGTTGCAGTGGTGTCGCGAACGGTGTCTGGTGCAGCAACGGAGGCAGCAGTAGCAACAGCAATCACCGACATGGGCAAGAGCAGAGCCTGAGTCCCACAGGCCACCTCATCACAGCCATCTGCCTCGGTGTTATTGGGAGTCTGGGTTTCCTGAACAACCTCCTGGTTCTGGTCCTTTTCTGCCGGAATAAAGTTCTCCGGTCTCCAATCAACCTGCTGCTGATGAACATTTCACTGAGCGACCTGATGGTATGCATTGTGGGCACCCCTTTCAGCTTTGCTGCCAGCACTCAGGGCAAGTGGCTCATTGGGCCAGCAGGCTGTGTCTGGTACGGCTTTGCCAACACCTTCTTTGGTAAGTACCACTGTTCTGGCATGTGGTGTCTGTCTGACAGCATGCTTCTTTTACTCCAGTGTGTGACTCATTTCTTCCTTTTGAGTAGTCTGCTCAGTGTATTCCATCCTGTATTGCCAGCTCTGTGTATTATTTGTAGAACACCTGGCAATTCTGTCAGAGTAGGGCTCTGAGCAGCCTTTGCTGACTTGACAGTGCCTTGCAGATACTCTGAGATACTAAAAGTGGAAGGGATTGTAAAGAACAGGAACAAAATCGTATCGTTTGTTGGGAAGACAGAGGAATTGTAATGCAGTGAGGGATGTAAACATAGAGGAATGTAAGTTAGGAATGCAACTATTGTATGTGTTTATAGAACTTAGGGTTGCATATATACTCTCTCACACTTTCTCCCCCTTCCATGTGCAAGAGAAAGGTGAAAAGAGGTGCTTATTAATACTAGAGGTTTTGTAGACTTTCACCCCAAAGTAATAATGATGATCCCTGCTCACATAAGATGCTGGAACTTGCAAAAGACCTCTATGATTTAGGTGTACAAGGACTAAATTAATAACCTGGCTTGGTGATAAAGTTTTGTGGATTATATGTTCTTGCATGTAAGCAGAGAAGGATTTTACTGCTTGAGGACTGAGGGAAGAGGATAGAAAGACATAAGGAGAATGCATTCACAGACATGTAGTTTTATTCCTGATTTCTTTTGCCATTTGGTATAGTATTGCAAGTACAGGATAGCAGGGGGTCTTTAGAATACAAAGAAATGAAATTAGGATTCTTTCAAGTCATTTCTGACTTAATGGTGATCCTAAGTTGAACCTATCATAGAGAGTTTTTTGGCAGGATTTTTTCAGGGGAATCTATCCATTGCTTTCATTCGAGGATGAATGTGATTTGCCCATGCCCATCCAGTGGGTTTCTATGGCTGAGCAGGGATTTGAATCCTGGTCTTTCGGTGTCCCAATCCAACAATCAGACTAGTATACCACATTGGCTCTGGAAGTCTGCTGCAATGGGTAAAATTGTGTTTTGAATGATGGGTAGAAAGTGAGTACCTGCAAGTTGCATCTCTGGATGGTAAAATTAGTATAAATAAGAATAAATAGAAGGCTACAATCTTGAGAGTAGCTCCCACTGAAGACAATGAAAGATACTTCTGAGTAGACATATCAAGGATTGCACCAAGTTTGGGTGGAAAGTGCACATTGGTGCTGAACATATGTGTAAGTAAGTTTAAAAAGACTGCGTTAAAAAGTATGGTAACTTACTACAAGCCTCCCTCCTGCTTGCCCACCCCTGGATTTGCCAAGGATTGAAAATCCAGAGATAGTGAAGAAGTTATTTAAGTTATTACAGTTAATATTTTTTATTATACACTGAGGATCAGTCATTGCTTGGCTTGGCATCTATCCCTTCCTCCCAGGCAAAGATAGATAGATAGATAGAGAGAGAGAGAGAGAGAGAGAGAGAGAGGGAGAGGGAGAACAAACAGATGTATTGCAACCATCACTATCAATGGTAAAATTAAAGAGCATAACTGTCCTTTTTTAAAAGGGAAATAATCTAATGTTATCCTTGTTTTGTCAATGTTTTTCTTCTGTAAACTAGAATCTATATAAATAAAAAATGTAATGTTTGTTTGTGGGATTAACATAACTCAAAAACCACTGGACAAATCGACACGAAATTTGGACAACATACATCTAACAATCCGATGTATGTCCTTCACTCAAAATTTTTTGATTTTGTCATTTGGGAGTTGTAGTTGCTGGAATTTATACTTCACTTGCCATCAAAGAGCATTCTGAACTCCACCAACAATGGAATTGAACCAAACGTGGCACACGGCTCCTATGACCAACATAAAACACTGGAATGGTTTGATGGGCATTGACCTTGAGTTTGGAAATTGTAGTTCACCTACATCCAGAGAGCACTGTGGACTCAAACAAAAATGGATCTGGACCAAACTTGGCATGGATATTCCATATGGCCAAATATGAACACAGATGGAGTTTGGGGGAAATAGACCTTGACATTTGGGAGTTGTAGTTTCTGGGATGTATAGTTCACCTACATTCAAAGAGTTTCTTGAGTTTCTATTTACAAAAACATCACAGCAGACGTATTTATTTATTGTGTCAGGAGCAGACCAAACAGTTGTATTGCATTTTTTAAACAAACAAACAAACAAACAAACAAACAGAACACAAAGTTTGCAAGCTTGGTAGTTGATTAAATGTCATTTGACCAGTATCTGGCCACTTGGAGTGCCTCTGGTGTTGCTGCAAGAAAGTCCTCCATTGTGCATGTGGCAGGGCTCAGGTTGCATTGCAGCAGGTGGTCTGTAGGTTGCTCTTCTCCACACTCGCATGTTGTGGATTCCACTTTGTAGCCCCATTTCTTAAGGTTGGCTCTGCATCTCGTGGTGCCAGAGCGCAGTCTGTTCAATGCCTTCCATGTCGCCCAGTTTTCTGTGTGCAGAGGTGAATGAAGTCTAGCCCATTAGTTCTATGGAGCATGAAAGTGCTTTTAAAAATGTGCATCCCATAAGGGGAGCCCCACACTTTGGACACCTCATCTCACTTGCACATACTGTTTCAGTTCTCTCACATGTGTGTCTTCTTCTTGGATCACATGCAAAAGAGAAAATAAAAAAATAATGGCGTGAAATTCAATGCAGGTAGTCCCCAAAGTTCTGATTTGTTTGTTCTTAAGTTGAATTTGTTTGTGTCAGAAGAAGTATATTTTAAGTGTAACTCCAGCCAAATATCTATCTATCTATCTATCTATCTATCTATCTATCTATCTATCTATCTCCAATTATCACAGGGAAATAAGCACAGTGCTTTGGATAGCATAGGGAAGGGTGAACACCCTTGTGATGTTTGTTTTGCTGTCTGTGTCCCTGTTCAGATGATTTCACTTCACTTTATGTCCCTGTGACAATTGGAGTTTGAAAAAATTGGGTTGTTGTGGAAACAAGGATTGGTGATACAGCTTCAGTGTAGACACTGTTTCCCCATGATAACTTTTCCAGGAGTGAATTTCCCTTCCGAGTTGTAGATTTCTCTCACTTCCTCTTGTCTCACCACCGTTCTTAAGTATGAGTCATTTGTAAGTCAGATATTTGTAACTCAGGAATTGCCTATGCTATCATTCTACTAACAGAATATTAAATATGCTTATACAGGTCTTGAAACTCTTAGTCAAAAAATTGAGCCCAAAATCCAGAGTTTATCCACAGGTCAATGTAAGTAGTGTATTTAGCTCTTATAAAAAAGGAAACATCCTCTTCTCTGAGCAGGGTGATTTACCGCAGTTCCTTCCTCATCCATCCAGACTTTACAGTTATGCCTGCTGGAATTTCTTTGCCATAGGTTTCCTTTGCTTTCTCCTTCACATCTTTTGATACATGCCCATAATTAATCATAGTAAAGACAAAGTTTTCCCTTGACATTAAGTCAATTTGTGTCCGACTCTAGGGGATGGTGCTCATCTCTATTTTTAAGCCAGAGAGCCTGCGTTATCCATAGACATCTTCAAGGTCATGTGGCCAGCATGACTGCATGGATCTGTATTGATCTACTCACATTCCCATGTTTTCGAACTGCTAGGTTGGGAGAAGTGGGGCTAACAGCGGGAGCTCACCCCACTCCCCAGATTTGAACCGGTGACCTTTCGGTCAGCAAGTTCAGCAGCTCAGTAGTTTAATTTACTTCGCCACTGGAGGCTGATTTAATCATAGGTCAAATCAAAAGCCTTATTTTTGGCCACAAACATGCTCTTGACTTATACATGAGGTTGACTTGTACACATGTATATACAATACTTCCATCAATATAAATATAAATCCCCCCCCCTCCCCCGCATCTTAGAAATCTCCTCTGGATGAGATAGGGGTGAGAAATTTATTTTAATACAACTTTAGTTTGAAGCGACTGCATAAAAGTCACTATTAGTGAGTAGTAACCTATTTAAATGGAATATTAGTGGGTTAATCATCCTGCACCATCAAACCCTTATAYATCTATATATACTGTATATCTCAAATCGGATAAGCTATTGCAGAGGAAATGTTATGAAATATTATGAAAAATCTTCTAATCCTTTTTTGGGGCACATGACATATTTTAGCAGGGAAAACAGCTTGACCTAGAAATTTCAAACTCCTGCATGAAAATGAACTTTTGATGAGTCGCAATATTTCTTTGCTTTGTTTGATGACAGGGTTTCAGACATTTTTGTATGTCTATTTTACAAGTGACCTTTTGAACTCTTGGTTGTTTTGCTGGTAGCTGTTGATGCATTCTGCTCCCCCCCCCCGTCCCGTTCCCCCCCAATGTGTCACTCCTGCCCCAAATTAGATCCTAATTGTGTTACTTGGGGTTTTAAAAATATAATTCTTATTGAGATTMTTTTTCAAGTACAARATACATTACAAATCATTAAAGACAGAAAGGAAAAAAGAAAGAGAAAATACGTATAATATAGAAACAGACAGAGAATATAGAGAAATGGAAAAGTGGCTTCCGACTTTCTTTTCAGCTGTTATACAGGCTGAGGCTTTCTCAACCTGTATAACCCAAAATCCTAAATACTCCACAAGCCAAAATGTTTGTTGTCAGCCGTTCCATTCTGCATTTGGGAAACACGGGCTACTTACAAATCCAGTGCCTGCTGAGTTTTCCCCCACTTGCTCCTCCGATGTCAGAAATTTGTGGAGGAAAAGCCACAGGATTCTAGTTCCTGTGGCCCCGATCACATAGGATGTCTGAAAAACAGTATATGTTCCAGACGCCTCCTCAGCTGTCTGCAAACTTTGCACCTTTTTAGCAAAGTAGACCTCACCAAGGATAATTGTTACTTCTAACGAGTCCTGTCTTCTCCTGGTATGACCAAAGTATGACATTCTCAGTTTAGTCATCTTGGCTTCCAGGGAGAGTTCAGGCTTCATTTGCTCTAGGGTTCATTGTCTTTTAATACTCTACAGCAGGGGTCCTCAA